AATCTCTTTCTTAGAGCTGTGATGAAAAGAGAAACAGAACGAGATTAGATTGAGAATTGAATCGAGAAACACATATTATAATTATCTGACCAATAAGATGTTTGAAAAGAGTTCCTAATTCTGGTTCTCGTAGACGTTTATCAATAACTGACTAAATATCAATACTCACTAGATCAATTAGAGAGGAGTAAGAACGTAAATTGTTGAGTCAAAAATTAGACTCTGAGGATCAGATACAAACTTCTAATGGGTTAGGTTAGGTTAGGTATCTACAGACTAGCAGAGAATCTCCGCCAGTCATTAAATCAAAATTAAGTTAAATTACCAAAAGTAACCCAAAAGTTTAAAATTTTCCCCAAAAATCCAATTCTTAATAGATTAATTCAAAAATTGAAACAAATCAAATTTTCTGATAAATAAGCTACCACTAAAGGTCTCTGAAAATAATTAATTGTAATCAAGTGTCACTATGGTCATTTTCCCTCATTAGTGATTAACTCGTTCATGACCTTTAGTCAAATCAAAGTTAAATTACAATTTTTCATGAACCAAATTACAAATAAATTGAAAATAAGCGTTTCGTTTGTGTCGTGTGTCCATCAACAGCAAGCCAGAGACTCTCCAGCTTAGGAACCAATGACACCCAACTTTTGAGTAAATTGACTGTCAAATGTAGAAACTACGATTGCCAAGTCAATGGTAAATACTACGATATACTGAAGCATCTTCAGTATTGCAAGAGTGATACATTCAAGGTAAACTCAATTATATGTGGACTATTCGTAAAGAAGGATCAGAGAAAGAACAACAAGATTTAGATGAAGGACCAAAGACGCCAGAAGAATACCTGAAATCGTTTGACCTCAGATTGATGATCCAAAGTCCCGAAAGCTTCATCCACCAGTTCCGTTCAGAGCAGAGAAAAGAGTAAGAGAAGCCGATAATGAAAAAGTGATTCGAATTGGTTTACCAGAAAGAGAAACAATCATTGTGAGACCACCAACAAAATCTCCAAGAAAAGAAGAACCAAAAAGTAAAAGTGAAAGCCAAAGAAAAGTAGATTGGATTCTACCCGAAGAATTGATTTATTCAGATTTTTCCAATTCTGGTTCTTCACAAGAAAAGGAAAAAGAAATTGAGAAAGGCAAAGAATCTTCGCCTAAACCCTCAACATCAACTGCACCCGAACAAGAGTATACACCTAAAGTGTTGGATGATTACAATGTTGAACAACCAACAGATTGGACAGCAGAATCTGCAGTCGCAGCAAGAGTTCGTGTAGCTGAAGTAAATTGGGAAGGAATAGATGGAATTTTAAATTCGAATATTATTCCTAAGAAAACTATTCAATTGGAATTGAATCCGTTGTTGGAACCAGCCGAGATTCGTCCTAACCCACCGAAACTCACAATACCTGAGATATGTAGAAGCCGTGAGTTAACCAAAGAAGAAAAATTAAAGAAAATCAAGAGACGATTCAAAGAGAAGAAAGAGAAAGATTTGGGAAAATAGAGACGCCAAGATATAAACAGAAGAAAGAAAATCAAAGACTTTCTAGAAGCAAATTCAAATAAGAATAAAGTATTCAGCGTTTCCGAAAATATCCATGGTCGAAGAATCTTCAACGCTTGGAAAACCCTGAATGATGAAGGTATAAAGGTCTGCGCCATTGACATAGAAACTTGTAAAGTAATGACTCGATCAGGAGAAAAAGCTATGCCAATTTGGATAGGAGTTGTGGATGCTCGTGGTAACATTAAATTTAATGAATTAGTACGTTATCCAGTCGACTCAATTGTCAGTATGAATACTGAATTTCATGGAATCACATGGGAAATCGCAAAAGGAGCAGATGCCTTTGGAATTGTTAGAAAACGTCTCATCCCAATATTAGCTGAGTTCGACAGAATAATTGTAGCCGGAGGTGTATTAGATTTCATTGCAATGGGATTCACCTTGGATGATTGGAACATTATCCCAAGAGATGTTAACCATTACCACGCCTGCCGAAAAGAGCCTTTGATGTTTGGATTAAAATTCATAACCTTCATGATGTTTGGATTCAACAAGCAGAACATTCGCCCATAGTCGATGCTGGGTTTACATTACTCGCTTATTTGGTCGACTATGAACATTCCGAAGATACTTATGAAGAAGCTACAAAAAGCCTAAGTTGGCAAAACCCGCTGCCTCATGAACGTTATCCGAAGAATCTTAAGATGGCATTATTACAAAGTCAATAGGAAAAGGAAAAAGCCTGAGAATGTCCAATCAATTGATGAAATAATAAACGACACCATTGAGTTCAAAAAAAAGCTTTATCGAGGATCAAAGATTTACCAATGTCCTTTCTGTATGACTAAAGGTCAACCCGGAAGGAAACACAATATGTCCGTTCATATAAATGGAATCGAAAGAAAGGATAAGGATGGAAATGTCCTTTTTGTTCAACCATGTGCGATTAGAAGAGAAAGAAAACCAGCAGTTAATGGCAAATATGAAACTGTTGAACCAATCGATATCACTGATCATGAGAAAAAATTACTCTTACCTGGATTCTCCGAACATTGCTTTCAGTCTAAGCTTTAACTGCTAACCAAAAAAAAGAATTACTTTGTACTTACTGTACTTTGATTCCTTTTTCATTCGGTCAATATTATCTTTTAGATTTCATTTCTCTTTTTAATAAATCATTTTCATTTTATTTCTTGGCTGTAACGACGGTGCGTTGTCAGGCAGTGCCTGACAAATTCTATGAAAGATTTTTATCAATTTATTCAGTTTAAATAGAATCAAGCAAAAGCACCATCTTTCTCTTCTTGAGCACGGCGAATGAATTTCATACCAGCATCCACACATTCAGGTTTTGCCAATAATTCTTGAGCAGTCTGTTTTCGCAGTTCAAAAGAAGCCTTCCGACCAACTAGAGATTGATTATCAATTAATTGTGTCAGTGCTTGATAAGATGTGATGATTATACAGAGTTCTAGATGATTGAGATAGTAAGAGTAAAAAATCAATGGAAAAGCCTTTGAGACAATGTATACAGTGTTCTAGATGAGCAATGTTGTACAATCAAGAAAGAGACACCAATGAGAAAGCCTTTGAGACAATGTATACTTGATAAGATGTGATCAGAAGTGATGAGTATACAGAGTTCTAGATGATTGAGATTGTACAAGTAAGACTAAGACACCAATGAGAAAGCCTTTGAGACAATGTATACTTGATAAGATGTGATGAGTATACAGTGTTCTAGATGATTGAAATTGTACAATCAAGAAAGAGACACCTCTGAGAAAGATTTTGAGACAATGTATACTTGATAAGATGTGATGAGTATACAGTGTTCTAGATGATCAAGATTGTACAATCAAGAAAGAGACACCAATGAGAAAGACTTTGAGTTAATGTATACTTGATAAGATGTGATCAGAAGTGATGAGTATACAGAAATCTAGATGATTGAGATTGTACAAGTAAGACTAAGACACCAATAAGAAAGACTTTGCGACAATGTATACTTGATAAGATGTGATGAGTATACAGTGTTCTTAATGATAAAGATTGTACAAGTAAGAAAGAGACACCAATGAGAAAGCCTTTGTGACAATGTATACTTGATAAGATGTGATGAGTATACAGTGTTCTAGATGATCAAGATTGTACAATCAAGAAAGAGACACCAATGAGAAAGCCTTTGTGACAATGTATACTTGATAAGATGTGATGAGTATACAGAAATCTAGATGATTGAGATTGTACAAGGCAGACTAAGACACCAATGGGAAAGATTTACAGACAATGTATACTTGATAAGATGTGATAAGATGTGATGAGTATACAGTGTTCTTAATGATAAAGATTGTACAAGTAAGACTAAGACACCAATAAGAAAGGCTTTGCGACAATGTATACTTGATAAGATGTGATGAGTATACAGTGTTCTAGATGATCAAGATTGTACAATCAAGAAAGGCACACTAATGAGAAATGGCATCTGCATCGCTGGGTAAAGCATCAAATCGGAAGGTGAAAGTGATGGGTAATCAACTTGTCCAAAATTTCCCCTGGCAAGGATAAAAGCAGTTAAAATTAATAAAGAGTCCATGGTTGGGTCACTTCGATTCCAAAGCGGTGGCCGATCAAATGTCGTCGTTTCCAATGAACTTGAAATGAATATGAAAACAATGAAAGAAAACAAAACATCCACCGAAAGTAAACTTTTCTTTCAATTGAGAAATATGATTAACAAATTGTTACGAAGATAATTATACGTTAAATGACAAGAGAAGAAGAAGAAAAAATATTCAGGTCATACGTTAATTCAATTAATCGTTGAGACATTTAACAAACAAGGTTAAGGTGTGTTTAGGTAAGTAACTAATTGTATTTTTTTTTCTTTCTCATTAATCAGCCTTTTCTTCAATTGTAATTAATATTTTCATTCAATTAGTTTGAGCTTCTTCATGTCAATTTTGATTAGATTTACTTTATTGATTAACTACCGACACTATTAACAAGTATTGATGGCACTTAATTGCTTATCTATTTGCTCGTCATCAACATCAATCTATTTTTCATGTAATATTTTATTCAGTTATTATCTCATTTAATTCGATTGGAATTGTTATTAATTGTTGGAAAAGAAGAGAGAAAAACTTAACGCGACTTAACATTTCGGTAAATTGTCCAATCTCATCAAATACTATCAATACAATCATCTGAACCAACGGACGTTTTAATTGTGACATTTGACAGAAAGTCCCGTTATCTTTAATCTCTGGACTAATCTCTTGGTGAATGTCTATCAATCTAAGGTCAAAACGGTACTTATGGGATGAGGAACACTGAACAAATAGAGGGCCGAAAGAGTTGATTGTTTTTGGAAAAGTTGAAAAAAAGTTCGAATCGATTTTGAACATTTGAATTTACCACTAAAACGATCGAGTGATTCGTTGCCATGGAAACGTTTGTTTTAGTTGAGTTTTGACAGAACAGAAATTTGATTTTCTTTCTGATTCGCAATCATTTCCTCTAAAAGGATAAACATCATGACTGATCTTTTTCTCATCGAATTTTTCTAATTATTGTTAATTACTATTCTCCCATGGAACTAATTGCCTCACATATTGTTTCGATTGGGATTTTAATCTCAATTGGTTATAATGTTTCATCTTCTCCTAATCTTGGATGGAAACAATTTCCAATGTTGATGCCAAATGTTCAACCAAATAAGGTTTGTGACCATGAATTTGTTTCTTTTGATTGTTGATTGTTGATCATTTCAATCTTCAAAAGCAGATTATTCCATCATCTTATTAATAAACATCACCATTCTGATGATTATTTCCATTTTCTAGTAACATAGTGTTTTGGAAAAAAGATTTTCTTTTCATCTTCTATCTGACGAATTCAAGTTTATAATTGAAAACGAATCATTTTCTACCTTGATTAACATTTAGTTCATTTTTTGTTTATAGAGCGTAACCAATTAATCTTCCAGTTAAACATTTACATTAATTAATAACTACAATTACTCCTTGATTCTATTCTCGACTCAATTCTCAAGTTGTGTAAAGATGATTAGTCGGTGTTATGATTTCAATTTTTTCCATATTCAAATTGATCAACTAATTTTGTTTTTCTCATTTTTCATTTACAGAAAGATTCATACCTTTGTACAGCGTTTAAAATGCCAAGATATGAGACTGAATATATTGTGGAATTCATTCCGAATGCAACTATGGCAACGGCTCATCATATTCTCATCTATGGTTGCCAATTACCAGGTTATTACGAACGTGACACCCCTCGAGCGGTTTGGGAATGTGGAGAAATGGCTGGAGGGGTTGACGGTAATTCACCTTACAAACGAGCTGCCGTTTGTAAAGGAGTCCAATCAATTATTTACGCTTGGGCCATGGATGCACCTAAATTGGTTCTACCTGAAAAAGTTGGCTTCAAAGTCGGAAAAGAAACGGAAATCTCTTTCCTAATCCTTCAAGTTCACTATGCTCATGTTGATCGTTTCCTAAATGGTGACTATGATCAATCGGGAATTATTTTATCCATGGTTCCAGGTATCACAAAGACGGTTACAAAACGAGCCGGAGTACTACTTTTAGGAACTTTAGGTCACATTCAAGCCCGATCAACGGAACACATGGAAACCTCATGTAGAATTAATCAGCCAATTGTGATGCATCCATTTGCTTTTCGTACTCACACTCATAAACTCGGTAAACTTGTTACCGGTTGGCTTATCAAAGATGGAGAATGGAAACTAATTGGAAAACGAGATCCACAAAAACCTCAGGTAAACTAATTTCTCATTGTTTAAACTGAAACATCGATTGATTAATTGTTCACCTTTTACTGTTTAAACTGTTGATTAATTGGTTCTTTTTATTTACTATTCTCATCAGATGTTCTATCCCATAAAAAATGACTCCATTGTTATAAAGCAGAATGATGTTGTTGCTGCGAGATGTACAATGGAAAACTATCTATCACATCCTGTTTCCGTTGGACCCACTGGAGATGATGAAATGTGTAACTTTTACATAATGTTCTGGGTCGACGGAGATGATGATTTAGAACAAAAATATTGCTTCTCCTCTGGACCTCCAACATATTATTGGTCTCAAGATCCATTGATAGGAAAAGTACCCTTGTCCATCGACAAGAAAGCGAGTAACATCAATTAGAATCGATCATTAATCCGATAGGACGAATTTCAAATTCTCAATGTCGAAGAAAAAAAAACAACAACAACAAAAACAATTGCCATTCTCCTTGGGGCATGAAATAATCAAAAGAAAACTCTTTTATCATTGTCAACAATCATTCTTCAGGCTTCATCATCATTCCCACTTGATGATTTTCTTTGACAAGACTAAAAGATTCAAATCTGATGAACTCATTGAACCTCATCTCCTGATATCTCATCATGTTTCCTTCATCACAATTGATTCTTGAAATGAATTTTCAAAAGATTATCATATATCCAAAGCTAACTCCAAATCTATTATCCATCTCAACTAAACCAAATCTGCTTTTGACCTCAGGGTCTATTGGTGTCTTATGGTCAATTATTTCATCATTCAAAAACTTTTATTTATGGATTAACTGTTAATTGTTAATAACTGCGAATTTAAATTATATTCTAACTGTTGAAATTGTAAAGATTGTGATTAATCTACCATGACTTAACCAATGTTATTATTTGACAATCATTATTGTTTATCATTTGATTCATCAAACACAATTAACTTGTTTTCAATGAGCTATTAACTTTTCTAATCCAATTGTTATAAAATTGTCCATTTTTATTGACAATCAATCTAATTGTTTCACTCTTGATGGGTTGAAAATTTAATTGTTGCTTCATTACAAAAGGAGCAAAAATTTATTGTGATCAATTTATATATAATTTATATATTATCATGTGTTCAATTTATCACATTTCAAGCAATTAAAAATCAATCATTATCTTCAATGTGATAATTAATTATCTCATCATTTAATAAGAGAGTAAGATAAGTTTTCCTCCATGAGGAGAACTACAATTAAATTGATTAAAATGTTTAGTCGACAATTTAAAATACAAATACTGTCAAAGTTAAAATATAATAAAAACATTTACAGTTACAAATTGTAAATCAGTTGATGAAATTGAATTGCCAATCAGATGAGTGGAAATTAATCAAGTTTTAAATTAACTTGAAAGTCAAGACACAATTAACACTCATTTGGAAAAATTTTCACCTCGAATCAGCGATTTAATCTATTACTGAGAATTTTATAAGAAAAGGATCAACTGGACCAATTGGCACTTTCGCTGTTCGAGAACCTCGAGTATTATATCGTCGACTATTCTGATGGGTTGTAATTAACGACATGTAGGGAAAAAATTCTGTGGCAATTGTTTGCCGACTCATGAAGCGACCATGTTTCTTAATTGAATCGTTTAATTTGTTGGTGAACTTTTTAGAATCGTAAGTCTCCTTTGGCCTTTTAATCATTTCATCGCCGAAAACTTTATTCGTCAACTTTTCAATTGTATCTATAAACTCATCGGCTATTTGTCGACAATTAATCGACTGGTCAAAAGGGATATCTCTTCCTTGAAGAAAATACGAACGAGTTTCATCGGCACTTAAAATTCCAACTTTGGTGGTAATCAAATCGTTTAAACATAATAAATTATATCGCCTGATTTGTGAAGGAGTTTCGTCGTCTAAGGTCACTTCCATTGGTTCATCGGTCAAATCTCCGTTGGAATTGTTACAATTATATTGATGCTCATTGAGAGTTCGTCTCACGTCCCCGTTAAAAGTGGTAACATTGATCGGCGACAATTGGAGAGGCCGATTTTCACTCGATTCTTTATTCACTATCTCGGTTAAATGTTTAACAATTTCCTCTGATTTTGGTGGGTCCATTTCAAATATCTTCAGTGGAGAAATGAAATTTTCCAAGTGTTCAGAATAACGATTAGCGGTTAAAATGATTGGCTTCTTGCTCTCTTGGACAAGGTTCTTGAGGACTCGCCAGAATCCGTTGACTATGTTACTAATCATGAAATCGATGTCATCAAATAAGATTATACTGTTTGAGGATAATGAGATTTCAGCTGTATCATCACGGTCATTGAGATCTGGTGAGGCCCAAAGTGAGGTTAATTTGGGAGTATCATTGAGACAAACTTGATGAGTCTGTATTGTTTCATGAAGTTTCTCAGTTGTATAATTGATCTTTTCGGTGAGGCCACAATTAACTTCAAATATTTTGTACTGTAACTCCTTAGCGATTGCATAAACTAAGCAGGTTTTACCAACACCGGGAGGACCGATTATCAGAATTGCTTCATTTTCATCACCACTCGTCCAATCTTCAATGTACCTTTTAATTTCAATGAATTTCTCTCGAGAACCGATCATTTCCCCGACATGATTTGGTTTATATTTAGTAGTCCATAAAAGTTGACTCTCTATTTTCACGGTTGGTAAAAACTCAACACTAGGTTGTTTTTTCATCTTTTTGGAAACATTTTTATCGTCATCTGCCCGTTTCCGTCTTGACCTTAATTTACCTCGTTTACCAATAGGTTCATCAATAGTAATTACAGGACTTCGTCGAATTAAAAATCTTTCAATTGAAGAAGCCATTGGTTCACAAATAAGATGAGACAAGATAAGTCACCAAAATTGTTAACTTCCAAATTTTCTTATTCTATTCATAGACATTTAATCATGTTCCATGTGAAAAGAAATCTGTTAATCAATGGAAAACAAACTGAGAGACAAACATAGGACAAAGGCCTCAACAATTGGAATTAAAAACGACAATTAAAACCAATAAAAATCAAATTAACAATCAAAACAAAATCAAGAACAAAGTGAAAACCAGAAAATAATTGTTTACATTTTCCCTCGCAATCGAACATCGATTATCAATTATCGATACATCGAACTTTTTTTCTACTAAATGTTGATCAGAATAAAGAAATTAATTAATTGAGCTGATAATTAAATGGAATTTCGTCATTTGAATTCATTGGAAATTGTTTCCTCCATGAAAAGAGATTGAAAACTTTTCTTCAGAGAAAAATTGTTAGAACAAAAAACTTTCTTTTCGAGTGGAATTGATTTTCTTTCTCTTTATTTTCGAAACGTAACTTTAATTACTTTCAATTAGCGAATAGAAAATTTATCCTGATTAAAGTTCCTTTTTCCTAGTAAGTTGGAAATTGTGATAAAGTGATACAGAAGATGAAAAAAAAAATCGGTGGAGAAAAAAGTCTCGAATTTCTCGAAAGTGAGAGAAAAAAAAGAAGACAAAATCGATAGAACGTCGAATCTGCGCAAAATGTACAAATGACCTGGAAAAAGAAGGTTAATCAAAAGGAAGATGATATTCTCAGGTAAATATAAGAAGATAAAAAGAAAGAAAAGAAAGAGAAATTGAAAAAAGAAAAGAAAAGTTCGAGGTTCAGGTAAATAAAGAAGAAAAATTTTCTTCTCCAATGAAACAAATTCGTTATATCTTATTTTTCTCATAGAACTGAACATATTGTAGAATCAGAGATTCTCATGAACAGAGAGATAATCATGAAGTGACCTTGGTGATAAGTCTTAGCATCTTCATCACCATGATAATAATAATGTTAAGAAGATCGAGAAACGCAATTAAGATGTAATCATCAAATGATTAGCATCATTTTCTCAGAATCAACAAACTATCAACATCATTAAAATCAGTTCAATGTAACAATTTAAACCATGTAAACAAAACCATCGTCAACAATTAAAGGTAAACATCAATAGTTATGGAAATCGAGTTCAATTTGGTCCACAATTAAAATTAATTGTCTAGGGTAAGTTCATTTTTCTAATATCAATCAGTTGAAATGATTAACTGATTGTGATTGATTCTAATATCTTTTTGTTGTTGCTGATTGATTGTTGATTCAAGATAATTAATAAAACTGTTGTATTGTTGTTATTTTAATTGTTTTCATTAAATCTGATTGATGGTCAAGGTAATGAACACTTAATCAACTACTATTTTTAATCATTTCCATTTAAATTGTTGTTAATCATTCAATAAGTTTTATTGTTTGAGATTTATGATTTAGAAAACAATTAAATAATTGATATCTAATTAAATTGATAATCATCTGTAATCTTGATTGAGACTCTTAATCAATTCAAACAATCAAATGGCATAACAATCAACTATGGTCTTAATCATCACTAATTGTCAACTGAACATCTCGAGGACAATTAGTTTAATTGTTAATCACTAATTACCACTTTGGGAACACAAAAAAAGCGATACTAGGCCAATGATTAAAAAGATCAGGGTAGCAATTAAATTTAATTGTTTACCTTGAAAATCAGTTAATTGTTATACTAACCTTTCCCCTCTTGAATAACACTAATTGTTAATAATTAACGATGATAATTAAAATGATTGATGATCAATTGATTTACTGTATCAATATTATTTCAAATTGTCACAATATATCAATAAGTTTACAATTAGTTGATAGATCAACAATTTAATTACAATAGAGAAACAAAATTAGATTAAAATTATTAATATTCATACACAATTGAATTAACTCTGATTATCTAGATTAATTGTAATCAAAATGAATTCAATCTGAATTAATTTTCCTTGATCTTAATTGTTGTGAATATAACAAAAAAAAAACAAGCGAAATATCAATCAACCCAATTAACTAGGCAATTCCTTAATCAAAGTGAATTAATTTTAATCATTTCAACAATATAATGAGAGAAAACCTTAATCCATTTTAATTAATCACTAACCCTCATTAGTATGAGACCCTTATTACAATTTAACAATTAGCAGGAAGAAAAACAAAATTAACTAATCATCTTACTGACAATTTTATATTTACATTAATTGACAATGATTAGTTAATTGTGATGGAAGACAAATTGAAGGAAATAAAAAAGAAAACAAAATTAACTAATTAACTTTGATAAGTTAAATTGCCACAGGATCAACATTGAACTTGATAGTGAACAATTAACGTTTAAATTGTTAATTAAACAATCTTACAGACTAATTAGAATAATCTTTTAATTGTAACAATCAACGTAATCAACTGTTAATTATTATTATTATTTAACAAGAAATTAATATCAATCAAAAATTATCATTATTATTATTACAAAAGTAGAAAAGTTAATCAATCTGATTAATTGGATTTTAATTTTTTACTCACTCACAAATTGATTGTGAACAAGATAAAAAGTAAATTAACTAAATAAACTAAATCAAATATGACAACAACAATTAACTACCAAGTCTACAATTTAAAATGATAATTTAAATTGCAAACAATTAAACAATTTGATGTTGAAATTTAAAGACAAACATAGAAGACAGAAAACAAATTAACTAATCACAATCATCATCAGCTTTGATTATTATTAAAAGATATTGATATTCATGGTCAAATTTAATTATTCACAATTAATTTACATTTACGTCTTTCATTAAACACAATTGAGATTAATTGTAATTTAAATATACAATTTACCTAATAATCATCATAACCAACGACAAGGGTTGAATTGTGATTCTAATCATTTGGTGAAAAATGATCAACACGATGAATCTTTGTTAATTAAGGAGCCTCATCACCTTACAATTAGATTTAATAATAGTCATTAATGAGGCTGTAAATTGTGATAATTATCTTCTTCTCTCTCTCTCTCTCTTCCTCTCTGTCTATTTATCTTCCTTATCATCTTTCCCACTCAAATAGACTCTCTCATACTCTCTCTCCTTTTCCAGGCTGATTATCATCATTCAACCTGAGCCTTTGGAATCAATCACAATCATAATTGTTGATTTCTCTTAATAATATTTTCTTATTCTCTTTTTTCCCTATTGATTAAGCCCTTCCACGAACAATTAAATTTAATTCAGTGTAACAGTGACTCTCGATTTCGATCTCTTTCTCTCTCTCTCTATGTGTATGTCTCCATGTATCTTCACCAGTAATTCATTTTGATTTATTAATCAAGTTCAAGTTCGTTGGATAATCATTGATAATCTTTCGGTACAATTACCGCTGCCATCAAATGAGTAGACGAAAACCTATTGACCCAGGTCATGTTAACCTGGGCGTCGATATGGATCCACATGGTGAAAGTGATAACGGTAAATGTCAAACCAATTCGATGCCTCCAAGTCCTCGATTGAATATAAATCGAGTCGCTTATTCAGTTCGTGATTTTCATGAGGAGTTTGAAGTCGTCGAACCGGCAAAAAAGACCTTACAATATAAAGTATCTCGACATTTCCTTGGTGCTTTTACTTGTTCAACCAGCGAGTTTATCGAAAGTGCTTTTCCAATAGTTAATTGGATACGAAATTACAATTTAAAACAATCACTTCTCGCTGATATAATTGCTGGAGTCACTGTTGCAATATTTCAAGCCCCTCAAAGTAAGTATCAGATTAATCAAGTTAATCAATCATCTCAATTTGTTGTTTCTTAAATAATAGACAATGTTAATTGTTAATTAATTGTTCTAGATGTTTTTTTCTCGTATTTTATTAATATTTCCCTCTCCTTCCTTAATTAATCTTGAAGTGATTTGATTAAGTACCATCACCTTTGGAGTCTCAGATTCAACCCAATTACTGTTATTAATCAACAATCAATTTACAATGGTGTTGGTTGTTTTTTGTTTCTTACTATGATTAAAACCACCAAACAATTAATATTCACATATAATCCTAGTAATTAACAATTGATTAACAATCAAAACTGCGAAAAAAAAACCTTTCTGATTGTAACAATCAAGGTTAATATCAGTATTTAAATAGAAAGACAAAACAAACGATGGATAATAACAAACAATTAAAACAATTAGGTACAATTAACTACATGTATATACAATAATTAATGAAGATTTTATCATGTTAGAGTTAATTGTGCTTGCTATCAAATCAATAAATTGGCAATAATCAAATCAACACAACAATAACTAATCAAAAGATACACGTTTATGATAACAATTAAGACATAAACAAGCCTTTCAATTTCAAGTTGATTACAATTTATTTTTTCATCATATGATTTAACTAATTTATATATAACTCAAAGACTAATTAACTGATCCGAATTGTTAACAATTAATCAACAGGTATGGGTTATAGTTTAATTGCTCATGTACCTCCAGTCCATGGGCTCTACACTGCCTTGTTCCCAATGGTTATGTATACAATTTTTGGAACCTCAAGACATTCATCAATCGGTAAGAATTAATTAATTGCTGGTAATGATTAACATTGCACAACATTAATATTTACATGATTAACTGATCACAATCATCTGATTACTGATTGCAAGCGCAAAAATCACAATTTAAGTTTACCAATGATGATGATGGTGGTTACGATTATCCAATTACTGTTATTATTAATTGTTGATCAACAATCAGATTTATTGTCTGTATATTGTTTATTTGATTGATTTTAATTGCTGACTGTCAATTTGATTAAATTAACTATTATTATTACACATTTATCTTATGTTAATCTCAATTGACATTTACAATTAAATTGATTTGATTGTTGGTGATAAGTTTTTTTTTTCAATCATTTCAAGTCTTTCTTATGGTACAAAAAAACTTAATTGTTAATATTTTTAAGTTAATTGTTTAAATTGATTATCACTTTTCCAGTTTAAACTTGATTAGTGATGACGATCACAATTTAGTTTATCTCTCAATTAACTATTAGATTAAATTGTTTTCAATCAAATTGCACAATACCAATAAAAGTTTGCGTCTTAATTGTCGTTGATTGTTTGCAACGAAAATTCAAATTGTCATGACAATAGATTTATAATAATTATTGATAATCATTGGATAATAATTACCACCGAGATTAATATCAATAGTTAATTATGGTAATTGAATTAGTATCAAAGTTAATTTGCAAAGTAATTAAGTTTATATCAAATTTTATCATAAAATTGGTTAATTATTATCAATCAATTTGCAAAAGCGAAACGAGAATGACGTTTAATTGTTGAACGATTTGATTGTTAATTGTTTCGCAATCAATTTAGGTGCATTTGCAATTGTTTCCGGAGTGATGACGGGAAATGTGATTGTCCAAGTGATGGAGAGCCATGGGGTCAGTTTAGCGCAAATTGAAGCGGGTACTTCGAGTAAACCATTGGTAACGGAAGCGACAATCGAAACGACGACAATGATGGCGACAACCGAGTTTACATCATCATCATCGATAGCGAATAATTTTGTCAATAGTCAAACCGGTACTCAGACTGTTGACTTTAAAACTTACGAAATCGCTGCAGCGATCAGCTTTATCATGGGTATCATCATGCCGTTAGCGTCATTCCTGCGACTTGGCTTCATATCGATCTACCTATCAGACCAATTTTTATCGGGCTTTACAACCGCTGCCGCACTTTACATCTTTACATCTCAATTACGATATTTAACCGGCGTCCATCTTCCCTATCGAAGTGGCTACTTGGCCATAGTTTACACGGTCTATGATCTAATCATTGAATGGAAACATATCAACATCTCCTGCTTAATTATCTCGGCAGTGGCCATGGCGATTCTACTTTTCTCAAAAATCTATGTCAACAAATGGCTCTTTCGACTTGGTATTCAAATACCTTTTCCAATTGAACTTTTGGTCGTAATTGGAGCGACCGTTATTTCATCAATCTTCAATTTCCATGGAAATTATAACGTTCCAATTGTGGGTCATATTCAAGCAGGGTAAGAATCTAAATATCAATCAGATGATCAATAAAATCCATCATCAATTAGTCTCACAGATCGTTAATTGTTCAATTGAATAACAATCAATATTAATGATGAGCAGCAGAAAAACAAACCAAATCCAACATTCAATTAGGTAAAATTAGGTAAACATATAATTCTAATAATAATTAATAAACCATAACAATTAAAAAACATCAGCTTTGTACACGAATTAAGTTAATGATTAGCTGATTACGAAATATTAACCGTAGTGGAATTTTAATTTACCATAAATGATGTTCATTGATGATGGATGATGTTGATTGTTATAAATTTTTCTCTAATTGTAAACAAATACTACAAATTGTTACAACTAAATACACATAGAAATTCATACACATTGATAATGATTAAGTGTTGATTGTTATTTATTAGTTTACCTCCACCACAAGTGCCAAGGTTAATGATGCTTAAAATGGTTGCCTTGAGATCGATTACAATGGCACTTGTTGCATTCACAATCTCTTTGTCTATTGGTAAAATATACGCCAGGAAACACGGTTATCAGGTCGTCCCCAACCAGGAATTGTTTGCTATTGGTGCTGCTAATTTATTCGGCTCATTATTCTCGTGTTTACCTGCCGCTGCATCGCTACCACGAAGTGCGACTCAAGAAGCTGCCGGAGGCAAAACTCAGGTAGGACATGGAAACGAATCTTCAGTTTTTCTCTCATGATAAATCTGCCGATGAATTTATTTATCGATTTGATTGATTTTGACTTTTCTTTTTTTTTCATTCTAATTTCTATTAGCTGGTCAGTGCGATCAATTGTGTTCTCATCCTTTTGGTTCTCATGTATCTAAGTCCACTTCTTGACCAACTACCTAATGTAATTATCATATTTTACCGTCGATTTGTTTTTATTTTAACTAATTGTTGTCACTTTGCGATTCGCAGTGTATTTTGGCCTCAATCATTGCCGTTGCTTTAAGAGGGCTACTTGCTGAATCGAGACAGTTTCACATGTATTGGAAAATATCAAAACTAGATGGCGTAAGTGGTTTCGATTAACTTTAATTGTGAAATTGATTGTTAATTTTGTTAATTGTTAGGCTGTTTGGATGATGACATTTCTCTCAGTCATCATTTTGGATGTCGATTATGGACTTTACTTTAGTTTGGCCTGTTCGCTTCTTATTTTGATCTACAAATCGTCAAGGTAAGTGAATAATATAAACAATGCGACGATGATATTTGGAAATCAAACCATTACAATCACTGACAATTTAATTGCTAATAATTAGACCCAAAACTTATTTACTTGGACCAATCAACGAAACCGATGTTTACGTACCTGTGAAAAAGTATGTTGCCGCGAATGACATTCATGGTATTAAAATCTATCAATTCTGTGGACCTTTGCACTTTGCGAGTCTCGAGTTTTTCCGTACTGACATGATGAAAAAGATCGGGGTCAATCTAAGGTTAGTATTTGACGAACTGACCAATTGATTGGGTAAACAATTAGCTAATGAGAAGATAAAATTTCTCCAATCATTTTAGTGAACTTTTTGAACTTCGAAAGCACAAATTTCCGGATACTCGTCGGCGATCAAAAAAGGACATTCGATCACTCGACAGTCAAATCGAGCTGATGACCAATCCAAACTGGGCTCAAGTGGTCAACCAATGTCGAATTGTTATCGTGGACTGTTCAATGCTTTCCTACATTGACTCAAACGGTGTAACTGGACTTAAATTAACGGCCCAAGAGTTTGGTCAAGTTGGAATTAGATTTTTCCTGGCCGGTTGTGCACCTCACGTTATCCAAATGCTATCGAAAGATCATTTCTTCCAGGAAGTTGGACAAAACAACGTATTCATATCGGTTCACGATGCAGTTCTAGTGGCCAACAATTACCTTGACACCAATGGTTCAGAATCTAAAATACAAAACACCCCAATAGTAATCGAGCCCCTTTCAACCAACGATAAACGTCCCACCGGAGGTACTAAGGTACCAACCGAAGGTCGTAAAATTTTTTAACCCAAAACTAACGAAACCCAAATATCGGGTCAACATTTTACCAGAAAATAACTTTCATATATTACTAAAAGTTAACATATTACCTGAACAATATATTGATAATCTAAATCAAATTTACTCTCTTAATCCAATTGTTTACCAATTCATTTTCATATACAATTGTATAACCAAAGGTTAACCTCATGGTAAATGTTAATTTATTAAATATCCAGTTAATTGTTTAAAATCATCTCAGCATTTTCCTCTACACAAATTCACTGATTCTTTCAATTGGATCACAATTAGTTTATCTTAACTTGGAAAAGTACATGATAAAAGTAAATTATTATTATTCATCTAATTTGATTTACTTCTCAACAATTTAAATCTGAACAATTGTGAAAATCTATGAGACTACAAAGGTAAATTGTTACCAATATGCTGACGGCAATTTAGTTGATTGTATTAAGATGCTCAGAAATCAGTAACTACCCTGTGGGTTTAAATGCTAAGTGGGTGAGGAGGATAAAGTAAACATGATTTAATAATGGAGATGATTAAGGTTAACAATTGAAATCGTGTCTTATTTAAGATTGAGAAAAGTGATTATAATGATCAAGTTTAAATACTTTAAAAAGATGATGGAGATTAACGTTTCCATCATTGGATTAAACAATCAAATAATCTGATTGTGATCAATAATCTCACCATATTGATTTAATCTCGAGAAATTGACTTGTTCAACTTAATCATTTTGATCTTGAAAAGTAATTAACTTAAGTTGATCATTTAATGAGTGAACAAAAAAATCAATCTCATTGAAAAAAAAATCTTTGACAAAATCTAATAGACTCTTGAAGATTTAATTGTTTCCCTGGAAATTTAAAATTGATTGTTGATCATTTATCTTGCGATTTAAAAGATTAACCCTGAAAAATGAACATTTATATCAAATTGTAAATTAAATCACAAAGAATCAACAATTCTAGCCAATAATAATATCCTAATCTCCTTGATTGATTTAATCTCATCATTGATTATAAACAATCAACCTTACTAGTAGATTTGGGGTAAATTCAACAAATGATAATGAAAATAATATCTGAAATTTGATGTGATTAAATTAAGTGAAAAATTTGATAGCAGTGACGGAATCGAATGAATCTTTGATTAATCGCAATTTAAGTCCCAAAATTAAAGGTAAATTCGTTGTATAATAAACTACATGTAAAGCTCCGAGCAAAAGTGTTGGGAAAAATTACCAAAACACATTATAAACTGTACTAAATCAACATGATTAGGTTAAGAATTAAAAAATCAGAAATCGAAAGCACATGAATTTTTGTATCTGAAAATCAAGTTTTATATTAATAGTTGTCTCAAGTAAAGTGATATGGTTTGGTTTCGGAGTTTTTAAGCAAACTAATTATCCGATTTGTTTAATAGATTAATGTAAGGGAGGTAAAAATACTGAATTCGAGTCTCCGCCTTGAGTGTCGTTTTTGCTTATAACCGAAATGTTTAGATGGTTGAAAGTATCAGTTCGTGTTAACAGTCAACCAACAAACAACAATCAAATCAATTGTTTATTTGTGAATCAACAAACAATCAACAACTAATAATCAAAATGAAAGTTTTCGCTGTGAGTTGATTTATTCAATCAATCGATTTGGATAACAAACACTTTTGGATATTGTTATTATTTAAATGATCTAATGTCACTTTTTCTCTCTTTCTCTCTGTGATTCTGTTAGATTGTCGCTCTTTTCGTTATCCTCGCTGTTTCCGCTGCCATGGCTTACGAGAAGGACAATCACTGGGGTGGTCATCACCAACACGGAAAAGTTGGATACAAAGTTGATGTAAGTTCTAGTGATTAGTTGATTTGCCAATTGTTCTAATTATTTGTATGAAATATTAAACATCTTAGGTCCACCATGGTGGTTGGGGAAAACACGACAAGGGATGGACTGAACTTTACGATTCCCGAGACAAAACCACTGGATGGAAATCACATGGTCATGATAACGGTTACGGTTCTGGTCATGGTCATGGTCATAATAACGGGTGGAAAAACTAAGAAGTTTTAACTCAATCTGATTAATTTATTCTGTTCATTCACTTTATTTATATTCTATGATAAATTAAAACTGTAAATTGAAGAAATATCAACTTGATTTTTACGAATAAATTGCTTTTCAATGAATTAACTTTCTAAAATTTTCCGAAACAAAATATTGATGAATTTTTTGCAGTTAAAATCAATTTCAACATTTATCATTTCTAAATATTAAGATTATTTTTGTTTAAATGCTCGATTGATTTCTGCCTGCTCAAGATTCTAACTTCGATTTTCAATCAAAATGAGACAAATTAATCATAATAAGCAATTTGATCTCTTTTTTATCATCTTCTTCATCTTAGTCTGAGAATTAGATTTTCAATTAATCAAAATGACGAAGGACTATCAGAGTTTCTTCACAAAGCGAATTGTAATTTTCAACACCAAATTCTTGCCCCACGTTATATTTGCTCGGACGAAAATTGGACAAACGCTCTTGGTCAGAGAAATCTTGCTAATTGTTGGATTCTTTTTGATTTGGTGGGCCAACTAATTGTCGTATCGATTGGGGGCTAGTTAAAAATCGTTCATCAAACGAGCCTTTCTCATTGATCATACAAACTGCCGATGATACATACGAGTGATCCATCATTTGATTAGCTGTGGGTCGATGTTGATATTTAATTAATTGTCTGATAAAATCAACAGCTAATGGATCCTGACAAGATGAATATAACTTTTCATACCAAGTTAATTGGTTTGAATTTTGATCAAAAACGATAATCACTTTATTGTAATCAGGCATTTTACTTGCCCAATCAATTGGTGGTTGACCCAACGATTTAACAACCAAACATAATTGCTCAATATCAGATTCACCTTTGAATAGAGGCCATTTAGAGTTCATTTCACTGACAATACAGCCAACTGACCACAGGTCAATTGACCAATCGTAATCATTTGACCCATACAATAGTTCAGGTGGACGATACCAACGAGTACAAACTTGATGAGATAATAAACAATTGGTTGATTGTTGATTGGATGAAGTTGATGATGATGATAAGTAAGTTAACTGATCATCATGATTAAGATTAAAACCTTTAGCTGGAGTCAACTGTTGATCACAATTAGCTGATTGTGGTAAAAGCCGAGCTTGACCAAAATCGGCCAATTTAAGTATTCCTGACCAATCAATCAGTAAATTACTTGGTTTCAGGTCTCGGTGAATAATTGATTGTGAATGACAATAAGATAAACCATCAAGTATCATGTAAGTGTAAATTGATCGTTGAATATTAGTTAAATTGTATTCGTAAATCAGTGTAGTTAAATTAACTGGATACAAAGGGAAAACCATATTAATCGATGAGCCTTGAACAAAAACATCAATCAATGGAGTAATCTGTTAATCAAGTCACTAATTAGAAATCAACTATCAAATTTTCATCAACAATTAACTCACATGTAAATGTTTATCCAGTAATTGTAATGATTTAATTTCCCTGATCACCGATAAAGACATTGCTTTTTTCCGTATGAAAACTCGTTTAATTGCTAACAATTTATCATCACGATCACCGCTTGGGACATAATCAACATGCGACGATTTAATTGCTTTTAAAACTATCCCATGAGCACCAGCACTTATATTACCAATTATTTTATACTTGTCCATTTGATTGTCAACACAATTAAACTTAATTAAACCTTAATCACGAGAAGTGAAAGTGAACCGAACAAAAAAATTAACCTTCGAGGAAAATAAACATTGGTAGTCATTGGATACTCTGTTTTTATTTACCACTTTTCCCTTTAAATTGTAACATTTAAATATCTTGATTAATAATTAACTTGCTCTCTAGATGAAATAATTAAAGTGTCAAAAATTTTCAGACAATTAACTTAAATACAAAAAGTTTCCCTTGTTATTGATCAAAATACTGATTGATTTTGAGATTATTCAGTAGTTTGTTGTTTTTTTTGTCTAATTTACAAATTTATTAATTACTAATCATCAATATTGATCACAATTTTTGATTCTATTGTTTGTTTAATTAAAAAATCGTTTTTCGAAATTTCATTTACTGTTTTGAATTTGGCGCCACAGGAATTTTGGTGATTTATGGTCATTTACTATTATTTTCACCATACGTCATCTGACAATTAGTTGATTGTCCTACGGATCTTAATTGTTGATCGATGATTATTTCTTAAACTAAATCATTTTGATCTTGAAAAGTAATTAATTTAAGTTGATCATTTAATGAGTGAACAAAAAAATCAATCTCATTGAAAAAAAAATCGTTGACAAAATCTAAATAGACTCTTGAAGATTTAATTGTTTCCCTGGAAATTTAAAATTGATTGTTGGTCATTTATCTTGCGATTTAAAAGATTAGCCCTGAAAAATGAACATTTATATCAAATTGTAAATTAAATCACAAAAAATCAACAATTCTAGCCAATAATAATATCCTAATCTTCTTGATTGATTTAATCTCATCATTGATTATAAACAATCAACCTTACAAGTAAATCAACTTAGATCCATTTAAAAGGAAACGGAAATTGATCAAAATCTAATCCGATTAACTTTTCAAACTAACAATTAAGGTCAATCTCTATCTCTTTCCAAATGATAACAATTAAAGATACACAATGATTGAAATTGCAAATCCATGATAAGTTAATTGTGATGAAAAGATTATGTTAAAAATAACAATCGATTTAAATTAATGTTAAATTGTTAAGTTGATCGATAAGTGAATAAGGAAGAAAGTGATTAAATTAAATTTCTAATCACGTTTGACAATTTGTTGATTGTCGAACAGCCAAGTGACGAATCAAACTAACACCATTCATCTTAATTGAGTTGTTTTTCAAAGGTTTGATTACCTGAATTGAGTAAAACAAAAACTTGACCAATGGTCAGTGGAGTTTGAGATGTCAATCTAATTTCCATTAATGGCAGAATCTAATGAGTATGGATAAGAATTAAGTTAATCAGAAAGTAAAATATGAAGATAATAATCAGTGGAATTGAATATAAACTGAGCTTGAGGATAACAATGGTCATCAATTCAATGGGTTGAATCATTAATCTGATTGAAGAGATGAAGAGTGAACAAAAAATGAGTAGAAGATAAAATGAATTCTGAATATTAGTATATTCATGATACATGGAGTTCATGAAGCTACTTTCATGTTAAATATCACGGAATGAGTTCCAATGGGAGTTATAATATCTAATATCTATTGTAACATGTGAACTAATGATAAGTTTTAATAAGTTTCAAAGGGATTTGGTTTATGGATGAAAATATTATTGAGAAAAAGGATTAAGGCTTGAAAATTGTTGATAATCAAATATAATCAGCGTTTGGATACTTGAATGTAGTTAAATTGTTACTATCAAGTTACAACCACTTCCCTGTGGATTGACCTTATTTCAGTGTAACAATTGTTTGCATAATACTATTGATCATGATTATCATTTAGGTCACAAATATCCGATCATTTTGAAACTGTTTTTCCCTTCAATGTTATTGTTCAACCTGAAAATGATAAGTAATCAAGGATCGTCGTTAAATTGGTTTCATATTATTAGAGGTAAAAACTAGTGACCACTTTAAATGGTCAATAAAAAGTGATCCATCTTATCAATCAACATTTTCGCTCTCTTACCTTAAGACACTGACCCAAAGGTCTTTTTCCTCTCAACTTGTTTCTCTTTTCCACTTTAGAACTTTTTTTCTCTCTCATTCTCATTCTCATTCTCAGTCTCACTCTTCCATTTCGATTTGATTCTTGGGATGATTACAATTCTATTTTCATCCTTGCTAATAAATTCCCCTGAAATACCTGAGATACTCATGAGATAATAAGTCTCTCTCTCTCTTTCTCTTTACCTGAAGATTACTGAAGATAAATCGTCTTTCTGGTTAACAAGCAAATCGGTATAAAGAAAAGTTTTCTTGTTCTCTTCTTGTTCTGGTCATTTAATGATTGACCATTGACAGTTTCAGTTGTTTCAATTAAACGTTTACTTTTCTGTTGATTGTTTGCTTACTATTATTGCTAAACAATCAATCAAACAAATAGTAAGAAATAATTTAATTTCAAATTACTCTCAATGCAATAATTCAACTTTTTTGTACTAAAAACTGCAATCGATTAGCATCATTAATTTAACGAGCTTTTTTTTTAAAAAAACACTCGAGCTTAATAACTTAATTAACTAATTTAGACAAAAAGTTAAATCATTGAACAAAATTCAAATAATGAACTCGAATCAAATTGAAATTATATATATTGATTATTCAAGAGTAATTAGTTTCATTTTTGATTGTAGTTGAAACTATTGGAGTGAAACAAATATAATAATAATTCATGAATAATTGTGATTCCAAAAAGTTCATGAAACTTATTAAATCAGCATTTCTATTGATTATCAATGTAAAGGTTATTAATATTTAGGAAATAATTTAATCATTGAACTTACGCAATTGCCATTTAATTATCATTGTTATGTAATAATCATGATAATTAAGTTATCACTAATCAACTCGATCTCAATTCCTTTGGGGTGAAAAAAAATTAGTAAACTTGATTTTTTTTTCATCATTAAACTAATTATGATTAATTTTGACTCTGATTGTTGATTGAATTGTAAATATTTACAATTAGAAACATGATTGTCCCATTAACATGATTCTGTTTAATCAGAGTCTCGAAATTATTACCTAACAATCAATTTAAAGAGACTGATTCAGTTTGAATGATTTATGGATCAGATAGGAAACATTTCCAATTGAAATGAAATGTTATTTTTTTCTCGATGAATTTAAGATTATCAATCAATTGGTTGGACAAAATGGGAATTTGTATTCAAAGAGAGTGACCAGAAAACCTCGAGAATGGTCAAGATAATGATCTTATGGTCCGTAAGGTGAAAATGTTATAAACAACGTAATTGGTCAGTATTCTTATCATTATATTATCGTTATTCAACTAAAGTCCATTTTGGTTTTATGAATTAAATTGACCATTACAAGGGAGGGTTAGGATCTTAATCTTGCCTTCCTTATGTTTCATTATAATATCTTGATGATGGTGATTATCATCATCATAACTGAAACCACTCCACTAAATCACATCGTCGTAATCATCTCGTTTTCATATTACTCAATTAAGATTGTTTCTTTTCAATGAATTGATTGTCAAATGTAATTGTTTCTTAATTATTATGCATAGTGACCATTAATATGATAACTTTTTTTCGTATCTTGTCCATTATCAAGCCTACTCCTTATTCATAGTATAGAGAGTGTATTATAACTGTAATGATATCAAAGGAAAAACAGTGAAGCAAAACTAATTGGAAAGAAAAGTAAGTGAGACAAAGATGATAAAGAAGAAATCTGACAAAATGAGAGAGAGAGAGAGAGAGAGAGAGAGAGAGAGAGAGAGAGATGCTGAGTGGACACGAAGATGAATTTTCGAAATGGACAGTATGAAGGTCCAGCTAAAAGATATTATCTATTTCTAAAAGATGCAAATGTAACACGAAACTTGGCAGAAAAAGAGATAAAGAGATGATGTGGATGATGAACGTCAAGAATGAAAGAAGATGATGAAGATGAGAGAAGATAATTTAGAATAGAGAAAATGACAAAGGGAAAAACACATGGAGAAGTTTTCTTTCAGAGAGAGAGAGAGAGAAAGGAAGATGGAAAAAGAGAATCCAGAATAATTATCCTTTTCTCTCTGGTCACTGTTATATTGTTAAAACCTAAAGAAAAAAAATCGAGGTCAAGGTCAAAGCTCCATGAGGGATAACTTTTATTTTCGCGCCGAGAAAAAAACCGTTAATATAAACAATTATCTCTGCTAACAATTATCTTTGTCTATGGTTGAAATTTGCACCAATGTGCATTTACTATATTTAAAATGATGAGCCCATAAATTATTAATTGTGCAAATGAAACAAAGTTAATTACAATCGGGTGAATATTTAACCAGTAAAAATTAACATCAACCCGAGAAAGGGAGAGAAGAGAGAGAGAGAGAGAGAGAGAGAGAGAGAGAGAGAGAGTGGACACGAAGATGAATTTTCGAAATGGACAGTATGAAGGTCCAGCTAAAAGATATTATCTATTTCTAAAAGATGCAAATGTAACACGAAACTTGGCAGAAAAGAGATAAAGAGATGATGTGGATGATGAACGTCAAGAATGAAAGAAGATGATGAAGATGAGAAGATAATTTAGAATAGAGAAATGACAAAGGAAAACACATGGAAGTTTTCTTTCAGAGAGAGAGAGAGAAGATGGAAAAGAGAATCCAGAATAATTATCCTTTTCTCTCTGGTCACTGTTATATTGTTAAAACCTAAAGAAAAAAAATCGAGGTCAAGGTCAAAGCTCCATGAGGGATAACTTTTATTTTCGCGCCGAGAAAAAAACCGTTAATATAAACAATTATCTCTGCTAACAATTATCTTTGTCTATGGTTGAAATTTGCACCAATGTGCATTTACTATATTTAAAATGATGAGCCCATAAATTATTAATTGTGCAAATGAAACAAAGTTAATTACAATCGGGTGAATATTTAACCAGTAAAAATTAACATCAACCCGAGAAAGGGAGAGAAGAGAGAGAGAGAGAGTATCAGATGTGTTATCCTGAAAAACTTTCACCAATAAAACTGATTGTTAATTCAACTCTGAAAAACTGTTGATTGTTATTGATTGATTGTTGATGTAAATTGTTTTCGGTTAAAAACAACAAAAATATGTAAAACCAAGAAAAACCTCAAGTCAATCATCAAATTGTCTCTGGGTGTTTACTAGACATAGAGAAGTAGAAAAAAGTTCTGAATCAACTTTTGTTCCGATTTCCAAGTTAACATCAAAAAAGACTTGGAAATTTATGAATCTTTGATGAT